TTATTGTTACAAGGAGTGGGGTTTTCTTTTCCCCCCTCTGCGTACGAGTTGGATTTGGTGTCAGCCCCTTCCCGGGTTCGGTTCCGTGTTCCCCCGGGTACGTCGGTTCCGTCCTTCCGAAGGTTTTCGGCTTATCGCATCCAACCTGGTGTGGTGCGAGCGGCCTTTGCAGCTTACCTCCTGCGTGACCCGGATTATGCCTCGGAAATGGATCCGTCCACGTTCAGGTTTGGGACTTCGTTCCCTTTCTGGCTCCGTTACGAGGTTCCGGAGTCGTCCTGGCTAGCAGACTGCCCCTTGTTTGGTCTGGATTCCTGGCATTCCTTCTGTCGTTCCCGCGCGCTGGAGTGGCGGGAAGCTTCCACGGTGCTTCAGGTTTTCCTGGGGGGTGAACTTGAGTACCTGAATGAGTGCTTGTTTGCCCCTGCCCTTCCCCGCGATGTGGGCGTTATTCAGCTCCATGTGCAGGTTCCCTCCCTTTCGGCGGCGCTCGTTGCGGAGGACTTGCGCGCCCAGGGCCTTTTGTGTTCGGCCTTGCGGTTCTTTTCCCTCCTGGAGCTGTCTTCGGATTGGCTCATGGAGGATGTGGGGACGCTTGGGTCCGTCCCGGGGTCCGGCACCTTGTCCTCGGCTGCGCGTTCGTCGGCTGCCTTGTTGAAGCTGTTCACGCCGATTTTGCGGGATGCGGTTTCCCTGTTTTATGCTTCCCGTCTCGCGTGTCGGCAGGCGGTGCTGGGTTCCTCCCTGGAATCTGCTTGGGCTCTGGCTCTTAGGCGTTCTTCACCTTTTTGTCCTCTCCTGTTTGGGGAGTCGGCCGTGGCGCAGTTTATTCAGGCTGCGTCGGCGGCTTGTCGTCCGATGTCGGACTTGTTGGTTTTCCGGGGGTCCCGGGGTGGGTCTTCCCGGCAAGGTCGTGCCAGGGCTCGGGGTTCCTCTCGTCGTGGTAGGCCTCTGGTGTCAGGTTTGGGGTTGGCTTCTCCTGCAGACCCTCCCTCGTCTGGTCGGCGCGGTGTTCGCGCTGTGCGGGGTTTTGGGTCTCGTAAGGGTCGCCGGCCCTTTCGTGGTTTGCCCCCTTGACGGGGCGATGGGGGGCGGCTTGCGCTGTTCGCCCGCGCCTGGTCCCACGATTCGTGGGCCTTTCGGGTCGTGTCTCGCGGCCTGCAGTGGCGTTGGGTGGCTCCTTCCCCCTTTGGGGGGTCGGGGCTGGCAGGGCAGGTTTCTTCCCCTGCGCTAGGTCGAGTCGTCTTGGAGTGGGTACGCTTGGGCGTCGTCGAAACGACGTCGTCCCTCAGATGGGTTTCCCGTCTGTTTCCGGTTCCGAAACGGGACTGCGCGGACCTGCGGTTCATTCTGGACTTGTCCCGTCTGAACCCCTGGGTTCATTGCCCCTCCTTTCGAATGACTACGCTGTCTCAGGTTCGGCTCCTCTTGGAGCCGGGAGCTTGGATGGTGTCCCTGGACCTCCGGGACGCTTATTGGCATGTCCCGATTCATCCGCGGTTCAGGGACTGGCTCGGTTTTGTTGTGGGGCGTCTGAGTTACCGCTTTCGTTGTCTCCCGTTCGGGTTGAACCTGGCACCTCGCGTGTTCACGCGCCTTACACGGGTTGTGGTGGCTCGTTTGCGTCTCCTAGGTGTTCGGGTGTTGGCCTACCTCATGCTTCGACGGCTGTTCTGGTTCCTTCGGGGTTCCCCCTTCCGCCTCTCTCGCGATCGCAGAGTTCGACCCCCGGGGGCCTTGCGTCGGTTGCTGCGTCACCGGCTTCCTCTTCGGGTTTTTCGGGGTTCAGTGCCTTGGCGCCTACCCGAGCCCTCGCTCGATGTGTACACGGATGCGTCGTCTCTCGGCTGGGGTTTTGTGACCAGTGCTCACCAGGCCGGCCAGGGGCGTTGGGATCCGTCCTTCCGTCGAGCTCACAGCACGGTGCGGGAGTTCGCGGCAGTGTGGTTTGCTCTGGGGAGGATTCGGGTAGCCCGCGGATCGACGATTCTGCTCCATTCGGACTGCTCTCCGGTGGTTCATTGCCTGAACCGCGGGGGTTCGATGCGGTCCTTGTCTCTTTGGGGTTGGTCGCTTCGGGTGACTCGTCTGCTGAGTTCTCGGGGTTTGGCTCTCCTGGCGGTTCACGTACGGGGCGTGTCCAACGTCTTGGCCGACGCCCTGTCTCGCTTCGTTCCCCTCTCCACTGAGTGGACGGTTGACGACGAGTCCTTCCGTTGGCTTTGCCTGACGTTCGGACGCCCCGAAGTGGACCTCTTCGCGTCGGCGTGGTCGCGGCGTCTTCCCGTTTATGCGGCGCCCTTCCCCGATTGCGAGGCCGTCGGGGTCGATGCCTTTCGGCTAGACTGGTCGAGGTGGGGGTTCCTGTACCTCTTTCCCCCGGTTCGGCTGTTGCTCCTGGTCCTGACTCGCTTAGAGACTTACCGGGGGAGAGTTGTCCTTCTGGCCCCTTGGTGGCCGGCCCAGCCTTGGTTTCAGGCGCTGGTTGCTGGGTGTCTGAACCCGAGGGTTTTCCCGCGGCTCCACCTCTTTCAGCAGATCGGGCCGGTACGTCACGTTGCTGGTTCGATCTTCTCCTCGAGTTTTCGCGTATGGTTTTTTTGACTCGAGTCTATCATCATCTCTATGGTGATCAGGTGGCGTCCTTGTTGGTGTCCCACCTGAGGGCTTCTTCTCGGCGGCAGTATGAAGTTTCCTGGCGGTCCTTCCGTTTCTTTTTGCGTCTTCGTCGTGTTAGCTCCTTGTCTGTTCGGGTGGTCTTGTCCTTCCTCTCGTGGTTGTTTCAGGACCGTCATCTTATGCCTAACACTGTCGCTTCGTATCGTGCGGCGCTGGCGGAGCCGCTTCAGCTTGCTTTCGGTATCGATGTTACGTCTGCGCCGTTTCGCAAGCTGTCTCGTGCATTGTTTCACCTCCGGCCTGCTCATGCGTCGCCTGAGCCGTCCTGGTCTTTGGACAGAGTGCTCGCTTTCCTTTCATCTCCTCGTTTCGTTGTGGCCCCTTCGGTCCAGGATTGTTTTTCCTAGGCACTTTTCTTGTTGGCTTTGGCCTCTGGGGGTCGGGTCGGGGAGCTTCATGCTCTCCTCCGGCGCAGGGGTTTCTGCTCTTTTGGTCGTGGTGATAGTTTTGTTCGTTTGCAGCCGTCTCCTTCTTTTCTGGCAAAGGATGAGACTGCTGCGTTCCGGAGGGGTCCATGGGTGGTTGATGCTTGGTTGGTCAGGCCGGGGGTGCATCATGTTTTGTGTCCGGTTGCGGCGCTTCGCCGTTATTTGCGCGCCACAGCTTCTGTGTCCGGGGACGCGCTGTGGGTTGATCCGGTTTCCCTTCTTCCCTGTTCGCGGGTTCGGGTCTCTCAGGTCGTCCGCAGGGTTATTAGGTCCAGCCAGCCTGCGGTCTATCCCCGTGCCCATGACGTTCGTAAGTTCGCGGCTCTTGCTGCCGTCTTTGGGAATATGTCTTGGTCTGATATTCGGGCGCGGGGATTTTGGCGGTCGAACAGGGTCCTGGCTGCTCGTTACCTTGTGAATGTCCCTGGGCCTCGTCGGGCCTGTGTTGCTTTGGGTCGGCGGTTGCAGCCAGTTGTCTCGGCTTCGAGTTGAGGGGTGAGCGACGACCGCCTCCCGGGTAAGTCCCTCTTTTTCTGTCTGTGGGTAGTTAGCTCCGGGGAGCCGACGGGGCTTCCCCCAGAAAACCAGCGTTGAATGTAATGAAACGCCATTTTCTGGGTGAGTCCCGGAGGCTCCCCGGCATCCCTCCCTCCCTCCGGTCGGCGTTTTTTTCGCGTTTTTGACATCCAGCCTCAAGAACTGAGGTGTGGGTAGCCGGCGCGGGGGGTCTGGGGCTCCCCCTTCCCCCTCCCGGGAGGGGGGAGCTGCGCAGACAGCGGCGCGGCAGTGTGTGACGTCACACTAGTTTGCTTGTTTTCGGTTGGGGAGTTCTATCCACTAGTTCGGTTTTTGGTAGCAATTTTAACCAGAATAGGGGTTTGTTTTGGGGCGCTTACCTTTCTGGGTGCCTGTTCCGGTCGATGGCAGACATAAAATGCTTCCAACTACACGGGGGCTTCTATAGGCCATTGCTCCCCTTGCCTCTCTGAGGGGGCCCAGTTCTGGCCGTGGTCCCCGGTAGGCCTAAGAACTCCATACACATGACTGATGCCAAAGTCTGACATTAGCATATCAGCCTGGGATAGCTCCGGGGAGCCTCCGGGACTCACCCAGAAAATGGCGTTTCATTACATTCAACGCTGGTTTTTTAGTATTGATTTTGAATGATGTAAAAGTTGGACAGCTTTTCAATTCAATAGGGAGTGAGTTCCATAAACTGGGTCCCTTTATTTGCATAGTGTGTTTACACAGATTAAGTTTAACTCTGGGGATATCAAAGAGAGATTTATTTCTGGTTTGGTGATAATGGGTCCTATTACATCTGTCCAGGAAGAGTTTCAGAGCAGGATTTGCATTTAAGAACAGGGTTTTGTAAATGTAGTTGACACAAGAGAATTTGTGGAGTGAGATTATGTTTAGCATGTTTAGGGAGTTAAACAAGGGGGCTGTGTGTTGTCGGAAAGCAGAGTTTGATATTATTCTGATAGCAGATTTTTGCTGGGTGATGATGGACTTGAGGTGGTTTGCAGTGGTTGAACCCCATGCACAGATACCATAGTTGAGATAGGGATAGATTAGTGCATAATATAGAGAGATGAGAGCAGAGTTAGGTACATAATATCTGATTTTGGAGAGTATACCAACTGTTTTCGAGACTTTCTTAGTTATGTGTTGTATGTGGGTACTGAAGTTGAGTCTCTTGTCTAGGAATAGGCCAAGAAACTTTCCATCATTTTTATTGCTAATGTTTACATTGTCTATCTGAAGCTGAATTGCATTTGTAGATTTGCTTCCAAATAGGATGTAGTAGGTCTTTTCTATGTTAAGTGTTAGTTTGTTGGTTGACATCCATAAGTTCTTTTGCTCCTTCAACAGCTGTTTTTATCTTTGCAGGTAATTGAGAGTGATGCTTCTCTAGGTACACTACAGAACCCCACTACCCCTTTGCCTTCCTCACAGCCTTCCTCTCTCTCTTCCCCTCTGCCATTCCCTTTACCTTCCCCTCTGCCATTCCCTTTACCTTCCCCTCTGCCATCCCCTTTACCTTCCCCTCTGCCATCCCCTTTACCTTCACCTCTGCCATCCCCTTTACCTTCTTCTCTGCCATCCCTTTTACCTTCCCCTCTTCCATCCCCACTGCCATCCCCTTTACCTTTCCCTCTGACTTCCTCTGTTCCATCTCCTTTGCCTTACCCTCTACCTACTAGTCTTCTACCAAGCAATCCATTGGACATGTTCTGCGTGAAGGTGACAGCTATAAAAGACCCTGCCAATGTTTACATTGCACCAGTCACCTGCTGTACCCTTCCTCCAGAGTATCAGATAAAATTAGCATCACACAAGAGAGAATATGACAATTTTTTGGAATTGGTCAACACCAGTATCACTACATTCCCAGTTGCCAGAAACCTCAAACTTGGTATGTATAAAAGATTCATCAAGAATGTGTTTTATAGTTACTTTAACCACTGTGATGCTCCGAGTTTATTGTGATATTCCCCGTGCGCATAAAATCAAGTGTTCGCCAATTTTTTTTTCTGTTGAGAGCCCCTTCAGCTCCCTGGAGCTATACCGGACTGATGTGTATATATATTAGACCGTGACAACAGTCAATCGAAGGAGTTCTAGACCTACCGGGGACCAGAGCCAGAACCTGGCCTCCCTCAAGAGAGGGAGGCCAGGTTCTTGACGAGGAGCAATGGCCTAAAGACACCCCCGTGTAATTGGAAGCAGTCTTTGTCTGCCATCTACCAGTTCAGGCACCCAGAAAGGTAGGAATTCCAAAACAAACTACTGCTGATCAAATAATTTGCAAACTGAAAGCCGAACGAGCTACAGAACTCTCCAATCAAAACTAAGGAAACAAGTATGACGTCACCACAAACGCCCCGCATCTGTCAGTGCACCCCCCCTCCCCGAGAGGGGGACGGGGGGTCCCAGACTTCACGCGGGCAACTTGCCTCAGTTCACAGGCTGTTGTGAGGGCGAACGGTTAATCGACTCTGGCTCCATCCTTTGAGCAGTGCTGCAGTGCGGTGGTGGTGTTCAGTTTTGGTATTGTGCGAGCCAGGAGTAACACAAGAGTACTGGGGCTGCCTTCCCTAGATGCCCTGTAAGTACTGCCCTTGTGGCTTCAGGATTATCTTCCCTGAGCCGTTCGGGAACTACCTCCTGTGGTTCTGTTGGTGCTCGGTGATTGCCCGTCCTTGGGGTTCAGCTGGGGTGGTTCTTGCTCCTGTTTGCCTTTGGGTAGGAGGTAGTTTCGTCGCTGGCAGGGGCGCGAGGTACTGTGCAACTGTCTGATATACGCATAGCGACTGGTTCTGTTCCCCTGGAGCTGTTGTGCTTTTGCGGGGTTTTTCTTTTATTTTGGTTTTGTTTTTTGTCTGGCAGGGTCTGCCAGGTGTGGCGGTAGGACCACTTGTAGGATTTTGGTGGCCCTCCACTAGTCCTCCATGCTTGCACATGTTGCAGGGGTTCAGCTTATAGTTTGCTTGGTAGCTCTGGGATAACCGGTTAGCAGTACCTCGCCTGGGCTTCCCTTAGCAGTCAGCCTAAGGGCCCTGGAAATCCCCATGGGGGGTCAGTGGTCTGATGAAAGAGACCCCAGAGTCCTACCTCGCTTTGTGCGAGTTTGAAGGTTGCTCTGTCCCCTAGACTCAGGGTGACACTCACCGTCTTTGTCTCCGCCGTGCTGCTTGTTGGGTCAATGACACCTTTGACCCGGAGTCCTGCGAGTGGTGTTCCTTGCTTGTACTCCAATTCACCTAGTTCAATGAGATTGATATTTGGGTGCAAGCAGCTTCGGCATTGCATGCAAAGTTTAGGCTGCTGCAACGTGCAAGGTTGGTGCCTTCCCGGATGCCCCGTAGCTGCCACGCAGCTGCCCTGCTTTGGTTACAGGCACCCAGACTTGGGGGTGTTAGTCTCCTCAACTTTGTTTTTTCTGCACCCCTTAGTCCTTTCCCTGCTGTGGTTCATCCTGCCCCCCCTCCCCCCTGCTCCCGGCTTCCAAACGTCTGAGGGTTTCAGAGTTGGGCCAGGATTGGCCTGGTGGTGAGTCTCGGGTGGCTTTGGGGAATGCCCCTTCCAGATCGGCGGCGGAGGCATTCGAGCCTGTTCTTCCTCCTGGAGCCCTTGGGCCATGCCAGCGGGACCCCTTCATCCCGGCTTTTCCAGCAGACTCTGCCTTTTCTCCAGAAGCAGTGTGTTTGAAGGACAGCTCAGCCCCGGGTCTGACGTGGAGGTTCCCGGGACTGGGGAAGAATTGACTTGGGGTGCTTGGGCCCCGTTTGAGCCCGCTTGTGTGTTGGTACCCTCGGCTCAGGGCTTGTTGTTACAGGGGGAGGGGGTTTTCCTATCCCCCCCCCCCCCTCCCTGTACGAGTTTGATATGGGTGCGACTCCTACCCGGGTTTGGTTCCGGGGTTCCCTTGGGTTCCTTGGTTCCCTCCTTCCTGAGGATTTTGGCTTCGTGCATCACATCAAAGGTGGCGCGGGAAGCCCTTGTGGCTTACCTCTTACGAGACCTGGATTACGCCTTGGTAATGGATCCTTCTTCTTTCAAGTTTGGCTTCTCGTTTTCTTTCTGGATGCGTTACGAGGTGCCGGAGTCTTCCTGGATGGTGGACTGCCCTTTCTTTTCGTGGGGGGGGGCATGGCAATCGTTCTGTCGAACCCGTGCGCTTGATTGGCGGGAAGTGACTACGGTTGTTCAGGTTTACCTGGGGGGCAAATTTAAGCACCTCAATGCGTGCTTGTTCACCCCCGCACTTCCTCATGATATCGGTCAGATTCAGCTTCATGTGCAGGTTCCCTCCCTTTCAGCGTCCCTGGTGGCCGAGGATTTGCGCGCCCGTGGGCATTTGACTTCGGTTTTGCGTTTCTTTTCTCTGCTGGAGCTGTCTTCGGACTGGCTCGGTGAAGATGTGCAGGAACTGGGATCTGGGCCGATGTCCGGTGTGTTTGCTTCGGCAGCTCGAGCGTCTGCTGCCTTGTTGAAGTTGTTTGCGCCGATTCTGAGGGAGGCAGTGTCCCTGTTCTTTGCTTCTCGTCTCGTGTGCCGACAGGCAGTGCTCCTCCACTCTTTGGAATCGGCTTGGGCCCTGGCTCTTAGATTTTCATCCCCACGATTCGTGGGCATTTCGGGTTGTTTCCTCTGGCCTGCAGTGGCGTTGGGTCACTCCTCCTCCTTCGTTGGGATCAGGGCTGACAGGGCAGGTCTCTTCTCCTGTGCTCTGTCAGGTCATCCGGGAGTGGGTTTGCTTGGGTGTGCTCGAAATGACAACATCCCCTAGGTGGGTTTTCTGCCTGTTTTCAGTTCCAAAATGGGACTGTGCAGATCAGCAGTTCATACTGGATTTGTCTTGTCTGAATCCCTGGGTCTTTTGCCCCTTCTTTCGGATGACCACTCTGTCTCAGGTCTGGCTACTTGTAGCACCGGGTGCCTGGATGGCATCTCTGGACCTCCAGGATGCGTATTGGCACGTCCCAATTCATCCAGGGTTCAGGGTCTGGCTCGGTTTTGTCGTGGGGCGACAAGCTTTCTGCTTTCGTTGCCTTCCATTCTGCTTCAATCTGGCTCCTCAAGTGTTCACACGCCTTACCTGGGTCATGGTGACCCGTTTGCGTCTGTTAGGGGTTCGGGTTCTGGCTTACCTTGACGACTGGCTGGTGTAGGCTCCCAACCAGTCCGCGTGTCTGCTCGCCAGAGATTTGGTTCTTTCACAGCTCACAGGGTTTGGGTTCTTGGTGAACTGGAGGAAGTTCCATTTGGTTCCCTCTCAGGTTCGGATTTGGCTGGGTATTGTGTGGGACTCTCGGAGCGTTTCCTTGTCTCTCCCTCCTGCGACGCTGTTGCAGCTGCAGTCCCACCTCCAGTTGTTTTTGGTTCTGGGCCACATGTCAGTTGTTTGAGCAGCTGTGCGGGAGCTTGAACTTTGCCATGATGGTCTACCCATCGGGTTGGATCTGGCTTCTGCGGATGTTCTGGTTTCTTCGGGATCGTCCCTTCCGCAGCTCTCACGATCGATTGGTCCGGATCCTGGCAGCCTTGCACCAGCTGCTACTTCGCCGACTTCCGCTGTGGGTTTTTCGGGGTTCTGTGCGGTGGCAAAAGCCCCCCCCCCCCCCCAAGCCCTCGTTCGATGTTTTCACGGATGCTTCGTTTCTAGGCTGGAGGTTTGTGACAAGTGCTCTCCAGGCTGGCCAGGGTCGGTGGGGTCCATCATTCCGTCGGGCTCACAGCATGGCATTGGAGTTTGCGGCAGTGCGTCATTCGCTTCAGAGGATTTGTGTCGCTTGAGGAGCAATGATCCGGCTCCATTCGGACTGCTCCCCAGTGGTTCATTGCCTCAACCGTGGGGGTTCGATGCGGTCCTTGGTTCTTTGGGGCTGGTTTCTTCGGGTGACCCATCTGCTGAGTTCTTGGGGTTTGGCTCTCCTGGCGATTCATGTTCAAGGGGTGTCAAACATCCTGGTGGACAGCCTGTCTCGGTTCATTCTCCTCTCTACGGAATGGACAGTCGACGCCAACTCGTTCAGTTGGCTCTGCCGGACTTACAGGCGCCCAGAAGTGGACCTCTTCACATCGGCGTTGTCGAGGCGTCTTCCAGTTTATGTGGCACCCTTCCCAGACTGCGAGGCCGTTGGGGGTCGATGCCTTTTGGTTGGACTATTCGAGACGGAGTTACCTGTACCTCTTCCCACCGGTCCGGTTGTTGTACCGGATCCTGGCTCGGTTGGAGACTTACCAGGGAAGAGTAGTCCTGTTGGCTCCTTGATGGCCGGCCCAGCCCTGGTTTCAGACGCTTCTTGCTCGATGTCAGAACCCGAGGGTCTTCCCGCAGCTCCACCTCTTTCAGCAGATCAGTCCGGTCTGATACGTGGCTGGTTCGATCTTCTTCTCCACTCTTCGCGTCTGGTCTTTTTGATGCGGGTATATCACCATTTGTACGGTGATCAGGTGACTTCGTTGATGGTGTCCCACCTGCGAGTTTCGTCTAGACGGCAGTATGAAATTTCCTGCTGGTCCTTTCGGCATTTTTTGTCTATTCGTAGGTTGTCTTCGATTTCTGATCGGGTTGTTTTGTCCTTTCTCTCTTGGTTGTTTCAGGACCTTCATCTTATGCCAAATACTGTCGCCTCGTATCGTGCAGTGCTGGCGGAGCCGATGCAGCTTGCATTCGGGATGTATGTCACTTCTGCTCAGTTCCGCAAGCTTTCTCAGGCGTTGTTTCACCTCAGGCCTGCTCATGTGCCTCCTGAGCCGTCCTGGTCGTTGGACCGTGTGCTCTCTCCTCTTCTTCTTGGTTTGTGGTGGCCCCTCTCGGTTCAGGACTGTTTTTCTAAGGCTCTTTTCATTATTAGCATTGGCTTCTGGGGGTCGGGTCGGGGAGCTTCATACTCTCCTCCGGCGCAG